TAAATTAAATTATAATAAAAAATTAAATTAAAAAATTACACAAAAAATAAGGAATTTTTAAATAGTTAATTTGATACGAATATCGATATATTTTTGTTATACATAAAATACTGTATATTTGTAACAACTCGTCCGACATGGATAGAAAGTGAGAATTGTTAGCTCCTTATAAGTCCCAAGTAGTGGGCTATTAATAACTTCCACCATGGTTTTAAGTTGAATTCGAAGTTATTAGACTAGTTCGTTGCTTTGGGCTTTGTGGTGTTACAAATGGTATCAGAGCCGATTCTTGTACCATCGGGATGGTGGGGCAAACCTCATCGGGTATGATGAGTCCTCGAGAGGGGGTGTTTGTAATATCTTAGGCAAATCCCACATTGCCGATGACAAGGAGAAAGATTCTGGATAAACCTGACGAGGACGTCAGAAGTTTACGTGGGAGAGTTTGTAACAACTCGTCCCACATGGATAGAAAGTGAGAATTGTTAGCTTCTTATAAGTCCCAAGTAGTGGGCTACTAATAACTTCCACCATGGTTTTAAGTTGGATTCGAAGTTATTGGACTGGTCCATTGCTTTGGTCTTTGGGGTGTTACAATATTGATGCTGTGTGTCCACAATTACTGATCAATCTTCATATTAAGCTTCCTCCAATGGCAGATTCATAGATTTATCATTCAAGAACACTATGAACACTTTATGAATATTGAGAGGAAAAGTCAATCCTCTCAATTCAGTCAAACCTTCTATTATCAATGTATATTACAATTAGCTCACCTCATACTAATTACAAAGATTAAACCACCTATTTATATGGTCAACATATTAAGACAAAGTCAAAGTCAAACTAGTCTAAGAAAGTCAAACACGCTGACTTTACAATTATAGACTAAAATTAATCTTTCAAAACGAATACAATTAATACTGAATTTCAGTCCTAACAGATGCATATTACTTAAAATTCAATATTACAAGTAATTATGCATAAGTACAACTTATTAAAGCTTGATGTTTGAATTCGTATAAATAACTGCGGATAAACATAATTAAATAAAGAATGAACATCTCATTTTAAAATATAAAAAATCTAAAATATAATTAGAATAATTATCAAGTTCCAACAAAATAAATAATTATTATATTTATTAAAAAATTATATTATTAAACCAAATATAAATTACTTC